AATTGTGGCTCCCCATCTGTGGAAGTGTTCCAGGCCAGGTTGGATGGGGTTTGGAGCAACCTGGGATAGTGGAAGATGTCCCTGCCCTTGATAGGGTTGGGATGCGATGTCCTTTAAAGGTCCTTTCCAACCCAAACCGTTCTATGAATTTATGAAATATTACTGTAACATGAGTGAATAGTCAGAATTCAAATACATTGTGCAGACAGTAAGATTCAAATATTGGAGCTGAACAATACATACTGTTAATCTAACTTCTTTGTTGTCTGTTGTATGGAGAATTATGTGTAAATATGTTGTAGCAGTCTCGTAACTCTGTGGTAAGATTTATGTTAGGATTTTGTGGGACGCTTTAATGTCTCATGGTGAAAGATGCAAAACCTGAAGCCTGCAGTCCTTGGATACCAATAGGAATCAGCCAAAAACCTCAGTGCAGTGCTTTGGTAATACTGAATGAGAAGCATTACATCTCATGTTGTCATCTTTATAGTGATTGTGGCTGCTTTGCTTAGAAGGAAAAGGATGTCCAGTTGCTTAAGTTTATAAAGCTGCAAACTCTAAAGGTAACCAGAGTCCTGCTATGTATAGAAATGTAATTTTTGTTAGGTTTTAAAATGTTTTCAGAATTTTCATGTGGTTGTGTTAAAGACTCAGCCTAGCGACCAGATCTCAGATGACATTGTAAGATCATGTGCATGACTATCTCAAATTCTTAACACTTTAAAGCAGTCATTTAAAAAAAAATCCCACAGCTATATGTAATCTATATTATTCAAGATGTCTGCAGACATCTTGGCAAGCACAGTTTTGGAAGGGGGCAGCTGGCTGTACTGGACAGATAAAATTCCAGCATTAGCAAATAAGTTGTGAGACCAGTAGGAGATATAATCCTGAAAGGAGCTTTTAATTACTTGTCTAAAATTACTTAAATAGAAGGTATACAGAATTTGAGAAGTTTTTCCCAAGGTCAACAGTACACTTCTGTACGTTGAATTATACTCAGGAGCTCATATATGGCATCCATGTATTGCTGACTTGCTTTTAACTTTCTTTCAGAGGAAAAAATATATTCTTGTAAGCCTTGTTAATAATTAATACTAAACTCTTCTAGAAGATACAGTAAATGTGGGATTTATACTTATCCCTAGTAATTTAAGATTGGAATGAGTCCTGATGTACAAAACAAACTCCCTTGTGTGGCTCTAAAGCCTCTACTGCTGCATCATGGAGCCAAGTTCTGGGACTAAACAGATGCTGGAGTTAATAGAGAATGAGACTTGTAGACTGGGTTATGATTCTTTGGGGGTGTAATAATACTGAGTTAAACTAAATGAGTTGCTAATAGGTTGTGTCTGGTTTGTTTGGGGTTTTCTTTTTGGTGGGGGATGTGGCAAGTAAGTAGATTGTAAAATCTTATTTTAATGAACCATGCATTTATTTATTTAGTGTACTTCAAGGAGGAGGAAATTAGATTTCATTGGTAATTTACTGCTAGAGTAAGGACTGACTTTCCTGGAGTGAAAGGGAATTTCCTGTAATTTGGTATTTCTTGGGGCTGTCCCACTTCAGCATGTGAGGAAGCAGAAGCTGTTTAACCTTGTCTTTTGCAATTTCTTCGGGATCCCCTGGAGGAGCCTTTCTGTGCAGTGGGGGTTGTTATGAAATTCAACTGTAGGAGAAATTGTGGGTGGATAAATAAATAAATGTTTTAAATACTGCTTAAAGCATACTGTTGTAAATGTGTTCCAAGTATTCACAAGGACTTGAACCTCTACTGTCTTAACCAGCATACAGGCACAGAGGCAGTGCCTCTTAATCAAAAGCAGTGTGGACATTTAAGCTGTTACATATTTTATTTGAATGATCTTTTCAGCTAAAAGCAGCTGTTTCTTAAAGAAACATTTGATAGCATGTCTGAAAATGATTTAAGGTGGTAACTGCCATTTAATATTATTTAATAGCAGCTGTCTCAGGAATGTCTTTGAGATCATGACTAGCATGTAATCAGCTAAATTAAAGCATTGGGGTTAATCTGTTACTGTTGTTAAAATGCCTGGAAATTAAACGTTGTGGGTTTTTTCTATTTTCAATTATTTTTAGACATTTTTCTTGTAGGATAATCATGAACTCTGAAGGAAAGACTTGTTTCCTTGGTCACTTGATGGCTGGAGTTCCTCAGAAGTGTCTTGTTTTATGTAAAACAGGGTCTGTGGTTAGATTGTAGGAGCTGAAGGTGCGTAGGCTGCATCATGAAGTCATTGCAGAGCACTTCATCAAGTTTTGGGATAACACAACTTCCTGATGGAAGGAGTTAGCTTTGTGTGTCTGTAACAGTAGTCATCTATGGGAAGGATCAGAAGAACTTGCTGAGATTTTTACTTCAGAAGGGTGTAGTGAGTGTAACATACTTAGGAGAGGAAAGAGGCCACCTGGGGTATAAGAGAGAGAAAAAATATGTGTGTGTTTGATTGTTCCAAGATTTGTTGGCTCTTGAATGAGTGGAAGTCAAAGCTCGCCAAGTCCCCTTATCTGCAAACTACTATGAGGTATTTAAATCTCAAATTAGCAGGTGGATTATTTTGACAGGTCTGGATGACATGATATTTTTTTTCATTTAGAGAAGAAAATAATCAGCCAGTGCCTTATTTTTCTGTTGCTTTGGGGAAGGTCTGAGGAGTGAAACATTTTCTCTGCAGTTTGGAAGAAGCCAGCTGGGCATCAGGGCTGTAGGGCTCACAAAGGGCTCCATAGCTTGTCATGTTGCTTGGGAGAGTGGCTGTAGCCGTGGGACTGGGCATATTGCTGGCCACAGTGATTTCACACTGACTGAAAACAGACAATAAAATTTTGCTGGGACTTGCCGTTAAAGCCTTCTTGGTTTTAGATTTTGTCTTAATGGTATCGAACCTGTTGTCATGCCGTAGGAAATTTGGAAAGCAAGCATGACTCCTTTTCAAGAATTAGCATGAAACCTGTTCTAGCTGCTGTCATATTTCTGGGAAAGTGGTATAAATGTGGGGGGCTTTGGGAGCTGCAGGGAGCTGTAAGAGTAGCTTGTAAATAGAGGATATGGTGACTCATCTTAGGAAAACAGGGTAAGAATTTTGGGCAGTCAGTTTTTTGTCAGTGCTCTGGTATGGAGAACTCAAGAGTTCCAGGTGAAGGTGGAGGGATTTGAGGGCAGGGCTCCAGCTGCCTCTTGGTTCTCTTCACCATTAGTTGTTTGTCTTGGAGCAAGTGAGCTGGAAAACATGAGCAGAGAATGGGAACTTGAAGCAGACAGAGACTAGACTTGTCTTTTCTCCAAGAAATAAAGGTTTAAATGTAGGGCCTTTAAGTCATTTAAAGGCACAGGGACAGGGCTCGAGTCAAAAATATAGGTCCAGAGCCAACAGAATCATTGTTGAACATGTTGCAAACACATCAGGTTGGACAGGGCTTGGAGCAATCTGGTCCAGTGCAAGGTGTCTGTGCCTGTAGAATCTCCTACAAATAAAATTTAGAAACTAATTTAGAAAATAATCACCAATTAACTTTTTTTTTTTTTTTTTTTTTTTTTGGGTAGGATTTCACATTTTAAAGGTCTCTTCATTACTTCATATATTTTATATTCTGCTCTATGACTGTGCTGTCTTTGTTGTTTTGACAGATTTGGGAACTATGCAGTTGCTCTAAATCTCAAGTATGAATTTTTCAGAGAACTTCCACTATGGCTGCTAAGGTTGCAGCTTTTTGTTGCATCTCTTGTTTGTTTTTAGTAAGCTTTCTTCATATTTACACAGTTCTTTGTTATTTGCTATTAGAAGTGTCTTTTCTGAAAGTAATTGCTTCAGGAAGTTGATGAGTTTGAGCCTATCAGCACCATAGTGATACTTGTGTTTTATGTCTTGTATCTGATACTTTGTATCTGTATCTTTGTAGAAACCAAGGGGAAAGTTCCTGCTGGGTGGTAGCTTACATCTTCAGATACAGCTGTGCCTGTTCCTATGTCTTATGCCAGCTCAGGAGTGAGTGTTTAGGTTACAGTAAATATTCCACAACACTTTTATCTTGACGGGGGGTGCCTTTTTTTTCATACAAACTTTTAAACCTATCAGTCACAATTATTTTGTATTTTTGTATTTTCCACCAAAAGGCAGAAGTTCATTGAAGTTGATGCCCTGGAAAGATGTGAGGTCAATGGCTGTGACACACAGTCAATAGCATTGTGGTGGTTCTCTTTCTTTAATTAAATACTTCATAAAGATGAGAAACAGCATGAAAAATTTAAAGCTTCTCATTCTTCATACAGATCAAGTACAACATATATAGTAAGAGGGTTTGGAGTGCCAGCTTCTGCAGTGTTCCATCAAAAAGCAGTTGTATTTCTGATGAGTTCATTTTATGGCTTTTTCCCATTGAAGTAGTTGTCTGGAAGGAACCACATTATTTTACACAGGTCAGGAGATTCATGTATGATCAGTAGTACCTTTGCTTGCTTGATAACAGCATGATAAGAGCTGTGCTTACTCTGGAAAGGCAGGAACTTTAAAGGTATAGATCATTGGTGGCACACAGGAATTACCTGCATCTTTACAGAAGGAGTAATTTTCTGTCTGTACATGTTCAGTTTGAAAACACATTTCTGAATAGTATGTCAGCTTGACACCCGCATTAAAATTGTGAATTCTGTGTAGTTTTCCCCACTGGTAGCAGCCTTGTTTCTGATAAAACTGTGCTGCAGTGTTCTTGCTGAGTATAATTTATTAAAATGAGATGATGACTGAAGCAATAACACAGAAACTTGTATCTTTCTTGATCAAAGATGTTGTTGTCCAGTTTATTGAAAGGAAATCTTTCTAATGTATTCCTGGGAGCCTGATTTCTACATCTCAGTAATTTTCAAGGAGCTTTTTCTAAAAAGCTATTTTCTAAAGCTTTACTGGTGGCTAACTCAAGGTCTGCATATTCCTTATTTGTGCAAAAGACTTAAAATATTTTCTTCTTTTTTTTTTTTTTTGATGGGAGCAAATAGCAGCAGCATCAGTGAGCTTCCAGAAAATGAGTACTTACAGAAACTGTCAGGATCAGAGTCCATCTCTGAGAATGACCCGTTCTGGAATCAGCTTCTGTCTTTTAGCTTCACTACTCCAACAAACAGGTAAGAGGGTGTTGATAACATGTTTATAGAAGTGACCAGTCTGAAAGCAATGGTTACGTTAGTTAATGCTGTTTTAGGTAGCAGAAGAATAAGTGCCTGTGTAAAATAGACTGTTGTTTCTAAGTTTGGAAGCGTTTTCCACCACCTCTGCCATTCCTGTGGGTTTCTTTCTTCTTCATAATAGCTGTAATTGCCATTCATTCTCCTGGTAAAGATCAGAAACAGAGTCCATAGTGTTGGGGGGGAACTTTTTTCCTTGTTGAAAAACAAAGCTTTCTTTTCCTTAGTATAGCATTTGGGTTGACTGGATTTGCTGAAGATTCCAACATTTGATGTTTCCTCTCAATTTAGAGTGAACTGTACTTCTTGCATGATTTAATTGTAGGTTAGCTTTTGAGTTGCTTAGTCTGTATGGCTTTTTTTTCACCCTCTTTGCATTTTAAAAAGAAATTTGGTGTGTATTCTCCATAAAGATATTTTCTAAGTACCTAAAATTCAAACTTTGGATATCTTTTCATTCCAGGATGTGGTGTGGGTATAAATAAAATCACTGTTTTTTAGAGGATCCATAGCACATCTCCTGAGCTAGAGAATTTAAGTTCCTGTAACTTCTATTAACCCAACTCCATTGCTAAATTCCTTGGCCTGTGTGTTAATTATCGGTTTTACAAGAACAATCTGATATTAATACCTTAAGGTGTTACTTAAACTATTTTTACAGTTTTCAGCATAAAACTGGTGCTTCTCTGTAAGTGACAGTTCAGGCAGCTGGAATGGAAAATGGTTAAGGAAAATAAACTAGGAGGCATTTACTTGGTGCTATTTTTGAAAAGAGTGAGGAGGAGGAAGTATTTTTGCTTCTATCTGGAGAGAATAGCCAGAGGTTAGGAAGAGGGGATGGTGTTGTGGGGGGTTGTAAAGCTGGTAGAGAGCAGTACAGAATTGGGAGTTGTGAGATAGCAGTTGTTTTTCCCCTAAAATCCCTGAAGACAAGAATTATTTACAGCCAATCTATGACTAATGAGATTGACAGTATTGTAAGCACTTATATAATACTCTGGTTTTTGTATTTTTTTAAGGTGATTAATTACAAATAAAACCCCACCGATTTCTTTTGGTTCTATTTTTCTTCATTCCCCCATGAAAGTTAAGGAGTTTTTCTTAGCTTGTTTTGCAGCTTTTTTATGCCTGTTTCATAGAATTCAGATCCAGTGCAGAATAAATTTGCTAAAAAAGCATCCCCCAAATCAACAAAGCAAAAACCCTACCAAACAAAAAAACCTCAAGCAAGAAACATAATTAAAAAGACAAGCAGTCCAGTAAAATGATCGAAATGCAGGTTGAAAACTTTAATTAGTTGAACACCAGATGGTGCTCTTGCCTGGGAGCTAGAGAAATATTTTCAGAAGCATCTTTTCTGCAGCTTAGTATTGGAAGGAAACAGAAATTTCGCATTTACTTGCATCTACCTGAGACAGCCATTGGCAAGTGAAATTGGATGATGTTGGCTGCACAGCACCCTCAGCATTTGTCTATATCAGATAACCTTGCTTTCAGGAATAGAACAATAGAGGTCAGTGTCAATTTCTGAGATTGAAATCTTCCAAATTACCAAGTTAACTCTTTTTTTAATGAGGCTTAAGTGGCAGGAGCAGGATGCTAGTTTGTGATTCGTGGAAAGGAGCCAGTTTTCACCTGTCATAAAGGACAGAGTTCTGCAGTTTTCTTTTCTTTTTAAATTCACTTTTCCCAGTTGTCTGTTGCAAAACTGGTGGCTGTTTGCAAGTATTATTTGGAACTGTGCAAGTTTTGTGATGCTTTTTTCTGGAGGCAGTTGTTGATACTTAAGAGTAAAAGATCTATCTAAAGAGGGCTGTCTTCTCTGGGTGCTACTTTGGACATAATTCTGTTTTACATATGTCAGTATCATAGGGGAGGAGGCAAAGAAAAACATTACAAGAGAAGATGATAGAAAAATTAATGTTGGTAGGGAGAGCAATCATCCAAACACAAATTATCCAAGCAAAAACTAAAAAGGTGGGGAAGTGATAGGGCTAGGGTAGATTTACTCCTTTCAGAAACAGATGCCCAACAAATTTACCTTGTTGTCAGGAAGCCTTGGCCATAGCAAGGAAACAGTTTCTGCAAGGAAGGCTTCCAAGGGAGTTCTGAATCAGTGAGTTTAAGTAAGTGTGTGGGGTTTTTAACTGTTTTCTATGTATGCTTTTTCTAATTAGGAGCTTGTGACTAGTGCTTTGCTTTACAGAAGCTGTTCCATGTTAATCCAGGTACTGTAGATCCCAGGTGTCAAATATAGCTGTACCTTCTGTGGAACAGTAGTCTTTGTGCCTTGGCTTGAGAGATGGGGAATTACTGTCTTTCTGCTCTGAGAAAAATGAAGACATGATACCAGATCTTAAAATAGCACCACTTTTTGTGCTCTGCTGTCTTCATTTTCATATGCTTTGTGTGTCTTGGCACTTTGTATTCCTTTATTTGTCCTTCTTTTGCTTTTCTCTCTTTCCCCTTTCAGTTTGGTTGATCTCTTTGTCCTTTTATCCATGTCTCATCTTTGTGGTTCTCCCTTTTGGTTTTTTTCCTGACTTCTACCTGACTGAATGTGTTAATCTATTTCTTTCTGGTTCCATGCAAAATTGTTTAGCATTGCTCATTTTCTCAGCCGTGCCTTCTTTAGTGGGTTTTATTTTTTCATTCCTGTTGACTTTTGGGTCTGTTTCTGTGAAAAGCACAAGGTAGTTTTCTGTAGGGAGTAAAGTTTGCCAAGTGCCAGTGCTGCCAACTGCAAAGTCGCTGTTTCTCTATCAGCAACATTGATGCAAGATGCTGCTGCCCTTTCACTATCTCTTCCAGTGTTTATTTTGTTCTTCTGTGAGTTTAATCAGGAACTAATCTATCTGGAAAACACAGCAGAAGTGTTTATTTTTTCAGCCAAGATAATTCCCTATGGTGATTCATAGCTTGGCACCACAAAACAATTCTGGCACGATGAGGGATTGATTTTTTGGGGCACAGCAGCCTGTTGAGCAAAAAGGTGGGATTGCTTAAACCTGCTGTGCCATCCAAAAATGAACAGGAGAGTGTGTGGACAAAGCAGAGCTGCCTGCAAGAAGTCTAATATTCTGCCTTTCTGGGCTGCTTATTCTTCCTCTCATACTGTTGATTTTCTTAATAATTAGGCAAATATTAAGAGGGAATATCAGCTGTCAGTAATCAGAAATGAGCTGGTGGTGAATCCCTGCTCACTGCCTGTGACTCCCCTGCCATGAGTGAATAGTAACAGCCAGAGCCTGGGTATCTGGCAGGTAAAGAAAGCCACCAGGGCCTTTCACAGTCTAGGAATGGGAGCAGATAAGTGGTGCAGACATAAATGACAGTCAGAGGAACAACTTCCAGCAGTTTAGTTGTAGGTTGCCTCATGGTTTTCACTGTAAAAGGTTTATTGTGATATCCTCTTCCGTAAAGCAAATTATGCATGCTAAGCAGGTACTGTTGAAATGTCTGCTGAGACATTTCTGTTTTCAGCCATCAGGAAAGTACTTGATATGCAAATATCATACTCCTTCATGCTATTTTTCATCTTTTTTTTCTTCATGGGTCATTATTTGTTGCACTAAAGGGACTGGTGGGAGCTGAATTAAAATTGTATAAAACCTCTTAAATCTGCCACTTTTATACTTTAGGTGACTGACCTATCAATCCAATAGTGTTTGGATATTGGAAAAATTAAATACAGATTTTCTGGATGATTTTTTTACTTACTGTCAGGATTAAGAGCTATGAGGTTTGCTTTGGAGTGTTAGCTCCCAGTCTAGTCAGACTCTGTGTTTGTCTGGCTTTTCTGTGATTTGCTACCAAGAATGCAACCTCCTCCTTAGTGGTGGTATTAGTTACAATTATTTTCTGATGGAAAACTTAAAGTTAACTAAAGCAGAACTCACTGAAAATCATGTGCTTAATATTTACTGTTCTGCTTTGTTCCTTCCTGAGAGTTATTAATGAGTTGCTGATACAAGAATAATGCGCGTGGGCCTTTAATGGAAAGACATAAAAATGAGAAGCTTTTATGTTGCCTTAACATGGTACATTTTTCAAATGGTACAATAAATCATATGCTGCCTTATATTCTTTGATGTCTGTCCTCCAACTAGTCCATTAAAATCAGCATTCCCACAGTATGAATTTAGTAAATGGGTTGGTTCTTCTGTTTTGTGTTCAGTGGCAAAGAAAAAAAGGGCTTTTCAGGAAAAACTGTCAGGAAATCTACTTGATTTGGTTTTTCCCCCTCCTTTTTTAGAGGAGTACTTGTCTGCTTTAGCTTGGAACTTTTTCTTACCATACTAAGGGCAGGTGTTGTGATGTGAGTATGTTTATAATTGCAGCTTTTGGCCAATTATGCTTTCTCTTGTTATGTGGAGATACTTTCACAGAAGCCACTGCAACTTTGAAGCATGTTGTGGTTCTGTTAAAAGAAAAGCAGATAAAACCGTGTTCTTCAAAGTTGTCTGCTGTCAGGAAACAACCTTCACTGTCTTAATAATTATGTTTTTGCCGAAGACTGATTGTTATAAAGTAAGGCAGCTGAATTCAACCATTTAAAAATAATCTTATTTGTAATGTTTCTTTTTTTCCCTTTTTCTTTTTTTCCCCATCCTCTTCTTTTTGGAACTAATATTTTTTACAATATGTGCCAGAAAGCTTACTACAGAATCCTTCTTTTTGGTCATAAGAAGCCAGAAATAAAAATCTTCAGTCAATGAAAATGATGACATTTTATTGATTAATAGGCTGCTCAAATTGCCATTCTTTCCCACTTTTACTGAAAAGAGGTTTTTGTACATAAAACTAACTTCCTGATGAAGAAACTCTTTGGACTATGATGAGTGATTGCAAACACAAAGTGACTAAATCCCAATGAAATAATGATTATCCTTGATTATTCTTTACTTTCACCACTGATATGTGATAGCTGCTGTCACACAGATGCTGCCTGTGTATAGAGCAGTTTTTAGTGACAATTGGTATGCAAAGTATTCTAATTAAATGGTGTTAAGATGTTACAGAAAATAATCACTGCCACCGTAAAACCTCTCCTGTTTGGATACCTTTAAAATAAACAAAGACAAACTAATTTTCTATAAACATGGCTGTGCTGTCAAGGAAGCAAATTTCACTATTATTAATTTTAGTTTTGCTGAGATTTGTGGACTTAGCTTCTACATAAAAGAAAAGCAAATAAAATAATTTCTTTTTTTTATCAAGTACTTTGAAAATACTGGCCATCAGATCACAGAATGGGGGAGGAACTCTTGTGAAGCCTGGAATTTTTTTCTCTGAAGTGTGTGGGAAGCAACCACGCACCTTACAAATTTGCTTGTATCCAAGTGAGCCAGTAAAGTCCCTATAGTTAAGAATATTCTGCTTTGAATCTATTCTGTTTGCCCCATATGTTGACATCCTATTTGAATCAGGTGATACCTTTTGTTCATTTCTTGGAAAACTGTAGAACTGGTGAATATGTAAATATGTACTGCTCCCTGAAAGCAAGGTGGTTCAGTGCAGGTTGTGCCAGTTGAAGTACATGTGTAAACTCACCCAGGTCACTGTGATCGTGCTTTTAAAGGTCCGTGGCTTGAAGCTGGTGTCACAGAAGCTCAGAACAGTTTGAGTTGGAAGGGATCTTAAAAATCATCCTATTCCACCTCTCTGCCACGGGCAATGACACCTTCCACTATGCCAGGTTGCTCCAAGCCCTGTCCAACCTGGCCTTGGACACTTCCAGGAATGGGACAGCCACAGCTCCTGTGAGGGCCCCACGACCCCCAGAGTTTGTTCCATATGTGTGTCACCAGTTTCCATAGGTGTCTTGTCCAGGACAGAGCTTCCTGGATGTTACTGAAGTTCCTGGGTTCCTCCTGCTGATGCCCAGCACAGCCATCAAGCAACAGGCAGATTTGACTTTCCATACTTACTGCCTGTTTATTACTAGCAATAGATAGTCTGTTGCATTTTGCGAACACACCAAATGTTCCTCATAGAGCAGGGAATATTTTACACTCCATCCTTAACAAACCTGTTCCTTACTTTTATGTGTTCTATCCCATGTCCCCAAGTGCTTTTAAATCCCTCTTGTAATGGCATCTCCACCACTGCCCTGGGCAGTTCATCGAGGGCAGGACAGCCCTTTCCGAGAAGAAATTTTCCTAAATATCCAATCTGAGCCTCCCCTGGCCCAGCCTGAGGCCATTCCCTCTCCTCCTGTCCCTGTTCCCTGGCAGCACAGCCCGACCCCCCCGGCTGTCCCCTCCTGGCAGGGACTTGTGCAGAGCCACCAGGGCCCCCTGAGCCTCCTTTTCTCCAGGCTGAGCCCCTTTCCCAGCTCCCTCAGCTGCTCCTCATCAGGCTTGTGCTCCAGACACGTATTTGACAGGTGTTTGACAGCAGGGTAGTCTATATTCCTAAGGTAAGGGTTTTCAGAGAGAATTGTTACTTCTGTGATCACTACAGTGAAGGAGCTTCACTTTATCAGTCCTTGCTCTTGTTAGAGCTGAAATACAATTCAAGTACTTATTAGGAGTGTTCTGTGTGGCTTAATTAAAGGACAGATGTTTCAGTGTTGAGTATCCATTCTTATGTTCATTCATTAACCAGATGTAATTTTTACAGGACTGTAGAGAAAAGTCGGTGCCACAGTTGGTTGTACCGTTTCTTTTGTGCCACCTTGTGAATCTTGACTCTGGCATCTTCTTCCCAAATCTTAATGTAATTTACCTTCTGTCTCTTCACAAGAAAGTACCCTGACAGCTTTTTCTGTGTCTCTCACTTCTCTTTCTTGCCCAGGAATCAAAGGAAAGTCACTGCTAAGTTTAGCCCAAGTTACTTAGGAATGAGCTGCTATATTTGTATTCCTCCATGAATCCATCCTTGGGGATGGAACGGTACCGAGTATTTTACTGGTGTGTGTCTATTGGGCTGGTATTACTGCTCTAATTCCCCCTCACTAGGTGTTTCTTTTGAGTGAACTGAAATTTTGCAGTAGCTGTTACCTAGTCTTGAGTGTGGAAAAACTCACTTTTGTGTTCAAGTTGTATGAATAAGAGGCAGTGGGCTGTAGTTAATTTTTAAGCGTTAAACTTCTCTTTAGTATGAAAAAGAATTACTTGAGTGTTAAAAGCTTTGCTGAAGATCTGAAAGCCTTGCTTGCTTTGTCACTGGTTTTGATCCTGGCAACTTGTAGAAATTAAACAACTCTGTGGAATTTTTTTGAGGACTTTGTGTGGGTTTTAATAACTCAAAGAGAAGAAAAAAAACCTGTAAGAATGCTATACTTTGAAACCTAGCCTTAGAAATTAGGGAGAAAATGAACCATAATTCAAAGTTGAATGTCTGCATTTATGGTTTAAATCCTGGAGCAATTACAATAACCACTCTGATTGTGTCCCCAGGATCTTTGGATAGTGGGAGGGGTCATGTTGTGTTAGATTATGATTTTTCAGTACCTAAGAACTCTCTACTGAGTTGTTGTCCATTGTAATATTCACCCTCCCTGCCTGCCAGGTCTTTGGAAGGAATAAATCCTGATGACAAGAAGCCAGCTGGGCAAATTTAGAAGTTTTTGTTTTTTTAAAAGAGTGTAAGGTCACATAGACCTAGAAAACTGTGTTGTCCGTAGTTGCTGGTGGCGTGTTCTTGCTCAATACCATTTGTTTTTAATTACTCTGCATGTTTGTAGTGCTGGAACAAGAAACCACCTTTGAGACCAAGCCTAATGTTTTTGATATATATCAAAGTGTAAGTTTGTTCTTTCTGAATCTTGTGTTTCAAAGCAGTTTGTAAGAGACGAATGAATGCTGGTAATTGATATCAGGACGAGCCAATCTGCATAATCTAAAGTTGTCTTAGGATATTCAGCTGTAGGTGAAGAGCTGTCTCAGCTGTCAGCTCACTACACAGTAAATTAGTCTGATATACAAGAAAATTTGCAGGCATCTTAAAACGTAATTTGTTTGATGTCTCTGTCTTGAATAGTTTCCTATTGAAGGGTTTTGAAATAATTATTTTGACTGCTCTTTCTACAGTATCTTCTAGTCCTCATGAGTTGGGGAAGAGCTCAAACTCCACAGCTTCCAAGAGCGTGGCTCCACAGGGTTTTCAGCACTGGAGCTGGTTTAACAGCTTCCCACACAGCACCACTGATAATCTCAGGTTGATGCAATAGTGTGCTGTAAAGTGGATTACCATGTAAATTTAAAAAGACTTCACTGGACTTGAAAGAGAGAGGAGGACTGTGTTATGACTGCAAGCATTGAGCTAAATATTTTTGATTGTCCTTCAATTTGTTGAACTTCAGAAGTCCTTGAAGGTCAGGCTGTATGTTCAGTCTTAGAGAGGCTCTGCCATCTCTTCCAAAACACTGAGCAAGTAGGGCCTTCATGATATGACAAGAAGTGATAGTTTTAAACTAGAAGAGGGCAGATTCAGGCAAAATCTAAGGAAAAAAATTAATGATGAGAATGGTGGAACAGGGTGCCCTTTAATTATTAATATTTGTATTGTTCAGTGTGGCATTGAACACAGTATCTAATGATTTGTCTTGTTTTCCCATCTGTTAAGGATTATTTTTGAGGATCATTTGCCCTGCACTGGTAGGTCAGAAGTATGTGTTTGACGCAGCTGGTGTGGTTTCAGTGCTGCTGTCAGGTTTTGCTTTAGTGCTTTATTGTTCTGTTGAGTTGATGTTTTTCTGAGGCGTATCACGAGGCAATTAATGAAGTTACAAACAATTTGCTGCATCTGATGTGATTGTTGTACTAGTATAATAACATTAGTTAAAAGGCAAGAACTGCATAGCTTGAGGTTAAATGTCAGATTGAGGTTTCTTTTATTCATGTTTTTAAAAGTGCGTCATTTCATGTGAAATTTCTTGTAAAAAAAAATCCAGTTCTTTCTGTAGGCTGCTGTTCTATTTGTACTTTGAGTAACACCAAACTGAGCATGGCAGCACTAAAGCTGCAAAACTAGCAGTAATAAAATGCTCATGGAATCACAGAATCCTTTAGGTTGGAAAAGCCCATGAAGCCCAATGAGTCCAGCCATTTCCCAGCACTGCCCATGTCCCCAGGTGCCACATTCACACGGCTTTTCAACCCCTCCTGGGATGGGGACTCCACCACTGCCCTGGGCAGCTCTGCCAGGACCAGACAAGCCTTTCCATGAAGGAATTTTCCCCAATATCCAATCTAAAACTCCTCTGGCACAGCCTGAGGCCGTTTTCTCTCATCCTGTCCCTTGTTCCCTGGGAGAAGACACTGACATAATTTCACTCTGATGAGCAATTCACTTTTGAATACTAGTTTCCTGTTTCATAGTTGCTGTACTTGAAAAGAATATTGCACTGCCTGATGTTAGGATGACAGAGCATTGGAATGAGTTGCTCAGAGAGCTTATGGGGATTCTCAAAAGCCACCTGGACATAGTCTGGGGCTGCTGGCTGTAGGACATTCTGCTTGAGCAGAGAGGTTGGACAAACTGACCTCAATGAGCTAATGGATGACTAAAATTAAGTGCTTCACAGAAAGATTTTATTATCGTTTTGTAATGAATTTTCACTTCAACTACAGGAACCCAATTGCTTGTGTAACTATTTTTGTTTTCTTTTCCTCCTATCTAGTGCTGATTTAAAGCTCTTGGAAGAAGCCACAATCTCAGTCTGTAAGTCTTTAGGTGAGTCCTTGTGCTTTTTTCCCTGTACTTTACCAGAAAAATTGGGAAACAGCATCCCTGTGCACATTCATGCCTTTAGCATTCTATTTGTATATGTTGCCCTAGTAATATTAAGACAAAGACTGTGTTTGTGTATATCCCAGACCTTTACTTCCACTGTTAACTGTTTTACAGAACTTGATGTAACTGCAAGGTTTGAAACAAATAATTCCATCTCTATTATGTCTTTTTCCCTTTGCCCTTTAAGGTGATCTGTAAGTGGAAACAATTAGAGGATAAAAGGAAGGGATGATATAAATGTGATCAGTGGTGTTGCAAGAAGGTAAAAGGTAGTTGAGAAGATCTGCCCAGTTTTCTGACAGGAGGCTGTTGTGCTGCAGACAAGTCTGGGAAAGGAAGCAATATGAGTATCCCACATTTGGGATATTTTAAATCTGCGATTAATACTATTTAGAGAACAATTATGGGCTAGTAAACCATGTACTGAAGAATCTTGAAAGAAGAATGCCTCTTCAGAAAAACAAGACATACTGTGCTTTATTTAGAAATATTTAAGACATTGAAATTTGATTTGATTCTATGTATTATTTGAAATAGATAATGTCATCTTATGCATGCTTTATGATTGTATCTTATTTTTCCTCATGTAGTTGAGAAGAATCCTCGAACAGGAAACCTTGGATCATTGATTAAAGTCTTTCTTTCTAGAACCAAAGAGTTAAAAATTTCAGCAGAATGTCAGAAGTAAGTTCCCAGAAAAGAGCTGCATGTGCCATTTAATTTTTTTAATGTTCCTTTTGTTGCTAGCTATTGAATTTTTTCACTCTGCTAATTAACATGCTTACAAACCAAACCTTAGAATTCTCTTAAACTGTTGTTTGGAACAGAACACATTGTCTAGTACTTTTCTAAATGCAGAAATTAAGTGTAATAGGTAAGTAGATTACTGGGGAAAAATACATATTTGTTTGTTAGATGAACACTATGGGTACTATTGGCTTAGAGATGTTTAAAAATTATCTGAACTTTTTAGCTGAACTTAATGTATGAGCCAGTATTCTATCTTGGAAATGTTTTAAATATCTATAAATATGTAAATATGTATCAAAATACAGCTTTCAAGTTATGTCATGCAGCTTCCATTGATTTTGTTTGCCCCTTTCATCAGTAGGAGAGAACTCAAGAGGTTACTTGTGCAGCACTGAGATTTTTTTGCAGGAGGCTTTCTGTAGTTGTTCCTTCACACTCGCAGATAAGTGTCCCACTTTAATCAGATCTGGGGCTGGAAATCTTCCTTGTCCCAGGACTGCCATCAAGTTTTTGCTTGCATCTAAAGTAAGAAGTTACTTGTGGCCAGATAGCTATTGCTGTTTTAATCCTAAAATATCTTGAAAGTACAGCTTTGTGCTATAGTTGACTCTGTGCTGTTCCATGGGCTCCCCAGCAGTTGCTTACTGGGATTCAAAAAAAATTAGTGCAGCTGTATTCCCTTTTATTCAGAAAGCTTGGAAAATATTTGTGCATTTGCATAAGAAAATCCTGTTATGTGGTGCTCATGAAGCCCATAAATGCCTACTGTCACCTGAAGGCTATTTACCTGGAAAAAGGGCTAAGGTTCAGGGGGACAGGAAGCTTTCAGGTCTGAACCTGTTGGAAATTTTCAAATGTCTGTGTGCCTGGAGTCCATAGAATCCAGAGACCTCTGGAAGTTTGCTGAACTGTTTGGTGAGTTCCTCAGAGTTCTGTCTACTGCGGTGTTTTTAATGGTACAAATGTAGTTAGGGATAAGGTTGTATAGGGATATGGATGTATTTTCTAAACTACTTTCGAATATATTCCCATTGTCTTCTGTAACATCAACTGCAGATTCCCTGCTTAAACACTTTGGCTTTTCCTTGCTTCAACTGTAGAACTTTGTCTACTCTGACGTTTATTTTCTTGTGGTTTTTGATGCATGTTTGCTGGTGAAGCATTACTGATTCTTGTTTGTTCCTGCTTCTTTTCTAGCCACCTCTTTATCTGGCAGGCTCACAATGCGCTGTTCATTATTTGCTGTTTGCTGAAAGTATTCATCAGTCGAATGTCAGAAGAGGAGCTGCAACTTCATTTTACTTATGAAGAGAAAGCAGGACCAAGCTCATATGGTGGGTACACACAAGTGCTAGTTAGACAAACATCCTGTGAGAAACTTAAATGTCCCGATGTTTGTAGATGTGACACATCTGTGTGACATGGTTTAATGCTGGACTAGTGACTTAGGTTATCATTGTACTTAATCTTAAGGATCTTTTCCCTCAGATGCTTTAGGTCTAAATTCCATGAGTCCATGATTTTTTTACTCAGAATCCCAAACTTTGCTTTTCAACCAGAAATTAGTTACTAGAGAGTTTGGTTTAGCTTAATCTGGCTTTTTTTGAACAGCTGTTGAGATGTGGTGCTGTAGACCTAGCTGAGCTTTATTGATTTTCATACAGTTTGAAAGGTGGTTATGGTCCTCTTCAGAGGAAGAGAACAGAATTGGGGTGAAGGTGACCATATATGAACATTGGAACATTGATATTGCAATTTAATGCATCTTTTCACATATTTTTCATAAACCAACAGCAGCCACAGAGTGGAATTAATGCTATTTTTAGGGATCTAGTGAAGGAAAGTAACAGTCCTATGGTTAGTTGACCCCTTGAGAAAGCAATTGCTAAAATTTCATTTGGGGACAATAGCTTATACAAGAGTACAGGTACAGTCACAGGATTTAGGTAGAATTACTAAAATAGGCTTATGTCTAGGAAGTGGAGTATGTATTACATGAGATGGAAGATGGCAGGAGAGATGTACAAGGAAGAAGCTGTTGTCTTTGAATAAGAATAATACAAATGTATTCAAAATCAGTTTCATTACAGCAGAACGACAATCTGAACACTGTCTGCCACAAATCTTTGTGTAGCCCTGTATCAAGATGCTCTCACAAAGTGCATGATGGATAATGCTGCCATGGGAACCTTGATTTCCTTAGCTTTGGTGTAAATCGTGGGGTAAATTAGGCCAGAAAAGATCATCAAATTAGGCCTCTAAGATCATCAAATCAGACAGCTAACCCAGCTCTGCCAAGTCCAAGTCAAAGTAATGTTCAGTGTGTAATTGCATGTTGTTTGTTGCATGAAGCCTAAAAAGTCTCAGAATGCTAGAGCAGTGTGAGTGGATGGTGTGAGAGCAACCAGAAGTGTCTGACTGTGGGTTTCCTGCAACGAGGACATGTGTTGAGAACACTGAATTGCCGCTTGCTCCTTGAACAGTGAAAACTGTTCATTAAAATCTGTTTAACTCCTTGGCGCCTGCCAGTGCTCTGAGGAAATCAGAATTGTGGTGCCAAAGGATTAAGTGCTACATGTTGAAATGGTTTAATGTATTTAAACTGTGATGAGTGATCTCCAGGAGGGGAGTCAGCTTGCTGATGCATTGGAAAAGAATATCTGATTGTGTGTAAGCTATCCCTGCAGACTGCCTGTGGCTTTATTCCTGGATTAAAAAAATGGCTCACCTCTTGCTTCATTGTACAGCATGCCACGGTGGGATGGGTGAAAAAGCTGAGACTTCTGTCAGCTGGAACCCCTGAGATCTTTATGCCTTGCACTGGGAGTTCCTTACAGTGTGGTATGGAAAGTGATTGTTGTCACCAGGGTAGACCCATGTTTATACCATGTCTAGTAGCACTTGACTGTAATTTGCAGTGACATTTATTAGCAATAATTTTGTGCATATTGATGGCAGAGGTACTTAGCAATTACCTCTGCTCAGATTGTTCATGGGATATTGTTGATTAGGAAGGTAATTGTGTGTGGTCTGCTGGTGAGACAGGAAATGAGCTTCTCCTTGGCTCCTCTTCGGGTTTCCAGTTGGAGATGATTCTTGTGAACTTCCTCAGGGTGTTGAGGTTCATTATATGCTGAGGTTACTTAGCCATTTGGTTTGATTCCTAAAAATCTTACTTTAAATATCTACAAAAGGTGGCAATAAGGTATATATACGTTCCTATTGCTCTTATGCTCAGCTATCGGAAGGTGAAGTATCCTGAATGAATTGTGATAGACTGCAGTTGTGCTAGGGCCTATTAAAAGTGAGCAGAAGAAAATGGAATGTTTCATTGCTTTGTTTGTATTTTTATAATTAAGTATAGCTTTCTTGAATTTTTGATTTCCACTTTTTGGAAAGTGGAATATTCCTGCTATTAGTATATACTTATTATTATAATATTATTAATATTTTAATATAATATTATTCCTATATGCCTCTTAATTTTACATAGAATTATTAGTACCTTCATGGAAATTTTACTAACTTTGGTGAATAGGCTTTTTAAAAACTAAATTCTTAGTCATCCTTACTCTTTTTCATTTACCAGAGCTTGGTAGTATTTATAGTTCTTCAACTGTAAGCATGATAAAACAAGCCTTATAAAAGACATTATTATTTGAACAGTATGATGTAAATAAAATATCCATATTAAAAAAAAAAGAAAAAGGGTTTTAATACAATGTCTGAATTTTGATGTTTCTGTATTTCATGGAAAGGACAGTGCAGCCACCTAACAACACAAACAACCTCTCTATCTCTTAGCCTTCTGAGAAAAGGTTATTATTCTTTTCAAGATAGTCTTACAACTCCTTTGGAAATCACTCTGTTGTGGTGTTTGTTTCCCTATGAACAACACATTTTTATCTTTCTGATTGGACAATATCTTCTGGTGCCATGCTCTCTGATTTAAGTGCAGCACCTGGAAACTCAGAGCACATAACTGCAGTGCCAGCACATCAGGATGCTCACATGGCAATCAGGCACCTCATTAGCACCTGCTCTGGGATATTTGGTGTGTCAGGGAGAAATGTGTAATTATAATCTGTGAGAGTCCTGTGTATGGAAAATATCCCTGTGACTGACTGCTCAGAAATATAAACTGTATGACATAAGCACAATTGTTCAGGTAGCATTTTATATAGTTGCCTTATGTGGAAGAATTCTCCCACACTTTTCAGTTCATATGCTTTCACTTTTTCTGCATGTCCAGTTCGTACTTTTTCCTGGCAGAGTGTACTTGAGGCTCAGAAGAAAGCTGTGCAGTTGTGCTTTGTGTCATAAAATGGGATTTTTTTTTGAGGTTTGAGTGCATGGGTGTGCTTTAGCCTAATGAATAAATTGCTCCGGATTAAGTCCCTGCTAATAGTACTGTTATTGATTTCCTTCAAGAGAAGGCAAACCATTAATAGAAATGTATTCTTTTTGAGGAGTTTCAGATTGTTCTTTAGCCCAAGAAGTGCAGCCTTTGCCTCTTCATACATAACTGGAATTTGCTTATAATTTTGGAGAATATTGCAGAATTTTGATTGCAGGAAAATCCACAGAAATGCTAAACCCATATACTTAAAGATTCAGCTGAAAATTTCTTGAAATCAGTAAATCCCAAACTAGATTCAGCATCTGCTCAGCTGGAGCTGGAGTTAGTCTGACTAGGATAATTGATTCATCTTTCCACTGTCTGTATCCCATAATTTCTATTCAGTCTTCAACTGTATGGTGACTCAAAGGTGTAAGAGAGCACATGCTGAGTACTGTATTTTAAATCTGACCATCAATTAATTGAACCTGTTCCCTGAGCCGTAGTGGGAAGCTTTATTCTTTATCTGTAGAAAAGTTTTTAAACAAGGCTACTGAGGGCTGTTTGTGACATATTAAAGCAAATTTGAGGACATAGAGAAGGGAATATATAACAACACATTTACTCCAAGCCTTAAATTATTTCAGGAGTGTTCAGCTATCATAAAAAGGAAATGAGGGAAGGCAATCAATTTATGTACTCATTTTTACCAGTCTTATGTAGAAGTTGTAAGTTTTTGAGAGTAATTAGAGTTGAAGACCAAACCACAAAACCTATGGAAGCCATAAGTCTGTTTTGTAAGGAATTATTTATATAATTATTTGTGTCCAAGTTCTGTATGAGCAACAGGGCAGAAAAGCAAGTAGCACCTAAGATGAGGATATACCTTTTTATACCTGAATATCTTATTGATGTTAAGCACATCCGCCAGATCAGGTCTTGTCAATATTGTAGGTAGGTTCTCAGGAAGATGGGATTTTAAAATTGGGTCCTCTTGGCATCTCTGCTTTCCTCTGCATAAGCCATTTTACCTGTGTAGTGTGTGCTAATGCAGTGTCTGTAATGAGTGTAACTTTGAAAAAGTAAAAACAAATGAAAAGCACTCTATTACAGAAAAATTTTAGAAGTGTAAACCAAACCCAAAACAAACCCCACCTGAAAAGTCAAAATCCATCAAATTACTTGCAAATTTAAAGAATCCACATTTGACAACTTAAATAGAGCTGATGAAAAAATGGTACTTTTTCTTAACTGGACATTTTAAAACCTGTATAATTGCAGTTGCTTCTGCAGTGGAGTTTAGAGGATACACCTATGATTCCTCTCCCTGCTTTAATTTTATCTGCACATGTTCACCCTGTACTTACTTTCCCCAAAGCTTTACAGATCTTTGATCCAAGTATGGGATCTATTAATGTGAATGAATCTTGTGTGTATTGTCTTTATCCTGCTATTGAAAGAGGCATTGTTTGTGAAAACACAGTGTTCCGTATTTATGGCTCTCTCTCACGTTATAGATTTGGCTTGCATCCTCCTCATTGTCTTGGCAAGATGAAAATTAAACAAGAATGTGTGTGCCCCAATTGGGAAAAGGATACATTAATTATTGTAGCTGAATGACATTGATTACAGCAATTAAGCTTTTTAAAAAAAAATTATTTTAAATAATGTCTTTCATTGTACGTGACTGTGCTAACCCAGTGTTTTCTTGCTTTATTTTGAATATTGTCTTGAGGGAAAAGCTTTCTTTCATATTCAAATAACCTTATTCTCTGTTCAGATGAGTTGTGCATACAGTGTGGAGGGAAAAATGTTTTAAAAATGCACTCATTTTACTTTTTTAACCTTTTTCGTCTCACTTTCTTTTGTTAGGAGAAAAACCAGGTACCTGTTGGGAACTAGTAGCAGTCTTGCTTTATAAGCATTTTCTAGGTTCAGAAAGCCCTAGGAAAATGTCACATTCAAGTTACTTTAAAATATATTATCTGTGCTCCATTATTGGCTGTGGTTTCTGTCCAAGGTTAAATACTCTGAGCAGTTCTTGGTTTCACTAACAGGAGCTGCATTGTGTTACTCATGGGGGATTCTATATAAAGGAAACCATGTTTCCGTGATAAAAAACTGATTTCCTTTAGAATGTGCAGTTCGCTAGGTGACAATTTTTAATGTGTTTTTAATAAACTGATTGTGGAAAGAAATAATTTTGCTTTATAGTGAATATTCCCCCTGGTGTGCTTCTTAAAATTGAGTTCTGGATTCAAGAACAAACTTGGGTTAAACAGAGTAACACCACTGTAACCTGTCTATAAAGTTGTGTTTATGGCAGGACTTATTTATTTGAAAATACTAAATAAACAGGCATTTGGGTAATTATTGTGCTGTAGTGCAGAGGATCAGCTCTGCCACTCTTATGCCATTCAGTGCTATAAAACCCTCCACTTCTTTATGATGTTGTACGTTTCTCATCATAATTTTATTTTTGAAGGCAGAATAAATCCTGATGAGCCAATACATTTATCTTCCGGGAATTTTTAGTATTATATGATGACTTCAAGTAGTTTGATAAGCTTTTTCCTCAGTGAATCTTAAAAGCCTTTTGTAAGATTTGCTTTTAAAAATTACTGGTATAAAACATCACCAGTTTTATTGCTTAGAATAGTTGCAAAATTTTAAATAATTCTGAACCACTGCATACATTTTATTACCTAGAGGATGATTTCTCTTCCTTTAAAATGAACCAACTTGTCACTGAAATTTATAAAACTTCCTCAATAAATAAATTTATATTCATGAAAAAATTGTACCTCTATTACTCTGGAGCAGCAGTGACATGCTCAGTAGCTACATTATTTTATAATGTTGCTCAGTGTATATTAGACAAATGAAACTGTCTCTGACTATTCTTAAATTGCCTTTAAGAAACAGAGTGGGGAAGTATGTGAAGTGTAGGGAATTTTGAGAGTACATTTAACTGTGGACCAGTGAGAAGTCACCAATGATGACTTCAGCTGTTAGTAATAACACTGTTTAATACAATCTTCTGTAAATAGTAAAGGAAGGCGTGATGTGCTAAATTTAGCACATTCCCACAATGTGATTCCCACATCTCATTTAATTTATACAGTTGTTATTAGTTACTTATTTTTAAAGTAAAAAGAAGTCATCAACATTTTCTCTGTTAATAATCTCAAGTGCTTTCTATTTCAGGAAAAAAAAATCCAATCTCCTTTAACACCCTAGAACTTCGAATCTTTGTTCCTCAATTAAGATATTGATCATCTGCATTTGACTATTTGAATCTTTGCTTTGTTTTGGTATTTGAAAACCCAGAAATCCTTTGCTATGTTTCTTTTTTAGGAACAGAGTGTGAAGACCTCATAGAAGAGTTGCTGTGTTGCCTCATCCAGCTCATTGTTGAAATTCCCCTCTTGTAAGTAGGCCTCTTTATTTTCTTTTTTTTCCCTTAGTCTTCTTTTATAAAATGAGCATTTAAGAGAATATGAAACTTGTAGTAATGGGTTTATAATGTTTAAATAGTTGTATTTGAATGTTCCATGTGATGGAGCAGTACAGATAATGATAAGCTGCTGCCACTGCCAGCCCTGAATATTCTGTTGGAAGAAGTACATGATGAACGTCTTACACCCAGTTCAAACCATCAACAGAAGTTATTCCGTTTGTTTCAGGTACCCCTGTCAGCACACAGACAGTAACTGGTGGAAATGGTTGTGCTCATGGTACAGGGGAAGGTACAGTGGAGGTGTCACTTCAGCTCTGGGGTATGCAGTAAGGTGAAAACTAAAGTTCTTCTGCAGTTCTGTGGGGGTTTAAATTGCAAAAATAAATAATATTGTGCTATTTAATACTGATTTCTAAAATTCCAGTGAATTGATGTCTGAAGAAGGGACAAGAGAAATGAATAAGTGGAATGTTTTTGTAGATCTCCAGATTTGTTTACATGGCTTTTTTTCATGCATCTGTTCTATTTGAGAGATGTTGATTCCACGTCTTTTTGGGATATGTGTCATAAAACATAGTTCAGTGTTCTATGTAGGAGAGCATGCTTTGTTCTTTGGAAAAAAAAGAAGTGTTCTTTCACTTTTGTGGAAGTGTTCTGATGAATTTTGACTTTTTTCCCTTTACTAAAAGAAGAGTGAGCAGTGTCTTTAATGTTAAATTGCACTGTAGTCTGTGTCTAAAATGTAGTGCCCCAGCTGAAGCACTGCAGCACTGGAGGAGTCTGAGATCGTCTGTTACGGTGTAGTATAGAGTTCTGCTATCTTGTAGCTGGGATTGTTCTTTTGGTTGGAAAACTGACAGAGATGCAATGTTTTTTGAAACATTGCTGTCATTAAATGCAGCTCTGTCAATGTTAATGCCAGGGATTTGTGTAGGTAGAGTGTAATGAATTAGTGGTGTGATTCAGAGTGTCATTCCACAGAGCTTGTCAGGACTTCCTGGAACAGATACACGCTTTGTTTGGAGCAGATTAGAGGAAGTACAAAGGGCTGAGGGGACTGTGATATACGGGCAAGTTCATGAATCCTGCAGGGTTTTATTTTTCTTTCTTGGAAGTACCGATGTGTGTGTGTAGTCCAGTATCCTTTATTCTGCCTTTCCAGCGGAAGAAAATACGGTGGCGTGATTGTTGCTCGCCCACTTCAATAGCTGAACCTGTCAGCATCTCTGTTTCTGTGAGAATATGGTTGCTGCAAGTGGAAGCAGCTGCTGAAAGCTCTTGTATTACTATAAAATCTATTGCTAAAATGACTTATTAAAAAGAAAATTATAAAGCCTGTCAATAATTTAATATTCAGTTATATCAAAAACTCACATTTCATAAGACAGAGATGTGGAAGATTTTTGTTTTGTGGTTAGTTGGTTTTTTTTTTGTCAAATAAGTTTTTTTAGCTGCATTTCTCCTGAAACAGCATGTTGCTGATTGCTAATAGATACTAACACTTACAAAAATGTGTTATTACTGTCTTGTTTATCACTAGAACATGTTTTACAACATGATAGTGTCTTAACTAAGAATTTTGTTCCCTTATCATTGGAAGGGAAATAGGCAGGGGAAAGGAGATATTGGAATACTTGCACTCTCTAATACACAATCCAACTATCTACTTCATAAAAATGTTATAAAGTATTACTTTCTTATTAATTTTGTTCAAGAGAGTGATCAGGATTGTTTTCATAGTGAGTTTACTTCTCGCTTATCTCCCTCTCCCTGGTCAGGAATTACTAGAGATTCTTTCCTATTTTGTTTCAAGGGAGTAGTCCATTTATGTCTTTAGCTGGAATGAATCAAGAGAACTGCAAGCCTAGTATGTGAATTTGGGGAAGGGGTAGATTGAGTGGAATACATGAAATATTCAAACTTGTAATGATCTCTGTGTCAGGACTTAGGATCACCTGTGAGAGAACAGGCAGCTTTGGCACTGCAGCTTGCAGTGGCACTGTAACAGAGTGTCTAGCTGTAAAGATACTACTAAAGATGAATTTTTCTTGTGACAGACCATTAAAATCTCCATGCTGAGCTGGTCTTCGAAGTGTCTTTCAGAATAGCAAAGATTTTGTTAGGAGCATTCAATAGCCTTAACAGAGGATTGTGACAATTAGTGTGTCCCTTGGGCTCTGTAGAGGCAGTTGGGTGAAGGAGTGGATACAGCTGGCAGCTGCTGTCTGAATATATTGCTTGTCTGCATCCCAGTTAAAGCTTATATATTTCTCCTCCACTGAAACTGTAACATTATTTTTAAAGCATGGAAGGCCATCTCTATGTTGAGAATGCAGGAACAGATGTACCTATGCAGCTGTCTCACACTCCTTCCTTTTGAACTTCTGAATGTCATGTCAGGTGCTTGGGATACCTGTGTGTGGTATTTTGCAGGCAGGTACATGGTTGTTCCAGGCTCGTTGGGGAGCAGCCCTGAGCAGAAGGATTTTGGTACATCCTGGTTATAGCCGAGAGATTGTGAGAGCCTGGACATGGCCCACCCATGTGCACTAGAACCCAGAAACCCCCCCTGCCCTGGGTTGATCCCTCAGTGTGGGCAGCAGGGGAGGGGGGATTGTGCCCCTGTGCCCCTGTGCTCAGGTGAGACCCCACCTGCAGAGCTGCCCCAGCCCTGGGCAACACCAGCACAAGGACGTGGAGCTGCTGGAGCCAGCCCAGAGGAGGCCCCGCAGCTGCTGCCAGGGCTGGAGCCCCTGTGCTCTGGAGGCAGCCTGGGAGAGCTGGGGCTGCTCCCCTGCACAAGTATTCAGGCTCCAGGGAGAGCTGAGAGCCCCTGGCAGGGCCTAAAGGGGCTCCAGGAGAGCTGCCCAGGGACTGGGGACAAGGCCTGCAGGGCCAGCACCCAGGCAATGGCTTGCCAGTGCCAGAGGGCAGGCCCAGCTGGGATATTGGCAAGGAATTGCTGGCTGGGAGGGTGGGCAGGCCCTGGCACAGGGTGTCCAGAGCAGCTGGGGCTGCCCCTGCATCCCTGCAGTGTCCAAGGCCAGGCTGGACAGGGCTTGCAGCAGCCTGGGACAGTGGGAGGTGTCCCTGCCATGGCAGGGGTGGCACTGGATGAACTTTAAGGTCACTTCCAGCCCAAACCATTCTGGGATTCTAAATGTAAGAAGTTTGGGCTTGGCAGGGACACTGAATTTGGAAGGCTCCAGTCTTTTTCTGAGTATGGGCAGATGTCACTCACCTCTGAGTTTGCTTCAGTTACCAGCCTTGGCAGAATAAGCTCATTTCTGCCTACAAAACAACCTACAGTATACTTAGAAATTGCAGGTGGACTGTGTTTCTCAAAATTAATAAGGAAGGTGTGGGATGTGGAAGAAGATAAATGTCAAATCTCTGTCCCTTAGTACAAAATGTAACTTTTTTGGGGGGGGAGGGGGGCGGTGGGGATAGACTGCAGAGCCTTTCTGGGAGGCAGAGCATTTCTGGAAGTGTCTCAGTTTTTTACAGGGAATTTAAGACAATCTTCCTTAAATTTAGTTTGTATTGGAAAAGGCAAATGTGCTTTAAGGCAGAAATAGGTTGCAATAGGTACTCTGGGACTCTACAACATTGTGGTGCTGTGTCTGAGAGTTATTAAAAATATCTTGAATTACCTTTCTGAAAAACAGGCTGTGCTGCATTGTACAAAATGCCAGGGATAAAGGTTTCAGGTTTAATTTTATAGAAAATACAGGTTTCAACAATTAGACTTGTGCAGTCCCTTATAACACTTGTATGTTGATGTTTGATTTATGGTTCCCTTGGGTGTGCTATGGATACTCTGCTTTTTCTTTGGTTTTGCTAATGTTAGCACTCAAGAGTGTACACTAATGATTTGAACTGCATAGTCGGCAAAAAGATACAATGTTAGTATTTAATTGTATGACTTCTACTTAGAAAGTATTGCTAACATTTTGTTGCAGGATGGAGCTCCTAAAGCTTTAAATTATAAAGGCTTCTTTCAGCAGCTTATTAAGAGCTTGTATCCATAACTGAACATCTGGTTGTTATCAGTGCATTTTCACTTCATTAAAAACTATAAATGCATGTGGAGGAGAAATGAAATACTGTGATCTAGTTACATCACTCCTAAGTAGCACCCTGTGGTGCCAGTACAAGTTAGTTGATATTTCTATTACATTCCCTTATTTTCTCTAGTTATGGTTGTTTTAGGGTGCAGCCTTAGTTATTTGGAAATCTAAATGTTGACAATGTTTTGACTCATTTAGGGATGCTCGCTGATTTTATGGGAGTTAAAAAGTTAAATGTAGGTGGAAGAAAGGCAATATAATTGATTATAAAGGCCTACAAAATAACTGCAGTGTAGGAAAGGTGCCAGATGATGAGAAATGTTTATCCGTTCTTGCTTGTGTGAGCAGCAAAGAGATAAATGTTTTCTGTTCTAGCTCAGGAGTTCCATATTTTAATTATTTTTGTTACTTTCAAAAGAACAGGTCAGAATAGTGCTTTTTAAAAAGAGTCTATTCAAGGAATTTTTATCAAGATTGTAGTAGCTCCATTATTTGAGAAACATGTGACTTTTGCATTTTTGGCAACTTTGTCTAATCATCAAAGGCAAACTTCCATCTGTTAAAACTGAGGTCGAAAGGAGCGAAATCATCCAAACTGAGAGAGATTTGTGTTGCTTCACTTTGAAGAGCCTCGAAGTTTAACACTATTGTGCTCTGTTTAGGAGGGAGCTGATTCATATAAAGGAAGTTTTATTTGCTGCTGCACCTTGGGGTGGTGCAGCAAATAAAACATATTTTATGTATTTGGAAGATTTTCTTAATCATTCATATCCTTATTTCTAATGGTATATGTGCTGTGTTTTAAGTGTCCAGGTATCCTGAGTAGGAGAACCTTTATCTGTATCACATATTCTTACTCTGTTCTAGTTTAATTTTAGACTTAGATCTGTATTTCTCTATGGCCTATCTGTCCACTAGGTGCGCTTTGATTTGTAACGAACTTCCTCACCTCAAAGCAAAGTATCAGAGGTCTGTTGTTTTTTGTGCATTATGCTGTGTATCAAATTCCTAATAATCTGCTTCCTGATACGGTTTTCAGCCCTGTTTTCACAAAAGATGATGGGTGTTGAAAAACCTATGGTTGCAGATATTTGGGTCTCAACAGCAAAGACATAGAGAGGCTGTGGAGCGGGTCTGCCTTTCACTTGGGCTGCATCACCGAAATGCAGGATATGATTCCTGTGGTTTGGCTTTGTGTAGAACTCTCAGATGGTCTAATGAAGGTGTTTGATCACATGGGTCATCTTTT